ATCTGTCTACGTTTCAGAGAGCGAGTTTCAGCAATGAATCTCTATATGTCAAAAATGTAATGTTACTTGAAACTTAGGGTAAACTGGGTAACTGATATGTAGGTAACTCTCTATATGTCAAAAATGTAATGTTACTTGAAACTTAGGGTAAAAAGGGTAACTGATTCTCATAAAAAGCCCTCTGGAAAACACAAGTTACTTGAGAAGGTGAGAAGTGAGAAGGATGTCGGAGTTATTGTGACTAGCTCCCTTTCATGGGATTCACATGTCCATACCATCATCGCAAAAGCCAACAAGCTACTTGGGCTTCTAAAGCGTACATGCCCTTTTCTGACCGATGTTTCAGTCAGGCGGTCCCTCTATCTGGCTTTGGTAAAGTCACAACTGTGCTATGCAACGCAAGTGTGGTCCCCAGCCCAATTCAGTCTCAAAAGTCAGCTCGAAAGAGTACAAAGACGTGCAACAAGATGGATACTAGGCACCAGAATTGGGGAAATGAGCTACAGAGACCGGCTTATCAAGCTGAATTTGCTCCCTCTCGCCTACGACCGCGAACTTAAGGACCTTGTGTTTCTTTGCAAATGTCTGAATAACTACACGGATCTAAACATCCTTAACTTTGTTTCTTTTATTTCCCACGGCCGCACCTGACGAAGTAATTCCTTCAATCTCACAACACCTTCATGTAAAACAAGTACCTTTCAGGCCTCCTATTTCAACCGAATTGTTAAACTCTGGAACTACGTCTGTACCTTATCACCCCCGTCCAAGTTTTCTAACCCGACCGCCTTTCAAACTTTTGTAGCAAAACACATGTTCTCTCTTTTCCGTTCAGTTTTTGATGTTAATAGTCCGTGCACGTGGTCAATTGTTAGGTCGTGTCCCTGTCATTGATTTTTAGTTATCTAGCACTTTTTCACTGTAAGTTTTTACATTTTTCATTTTTTTTTTTTCGTTTTTATTAAGGGTAGTGCCCCGCATGGGACTCCATGTCCCGTTCCCACTGACCCTTTTGGCGTATGTCTATCCATTTTTTGTCTCTTTCCTTGTATGTGTATTCATTTTGAGCTTGTAGACGTACCCAATAAAGCTGTTAAATGGAAATGAAATGGAAAATGGAAACTTTGACGAAAAAACATTACACGACGGACCAAGTACAAATGACTGGTAGAATGTGTGGGTCAGCGAAGTCGCTTAACTTGAGTTTCTTGCATATAGATTTAACAAAAGGGAGACTTCTCAGAAATTTGCAAAGAAAAAAATTATGACAGCCTGTTGTGAAGTATGCGAGCTTTTTGGACTTTAATTTCAAGGAAACATATTTGAAAGTGCGACGGCTCTCTTCTATCAAAAAGTGACTTTTTTGAAAATTGCGAAACAATTTTGGGTTACTCATATTGAAAAAAAAAAAAATTTTTTGAGGACCGAAGATTCAATTTCGCGAAATCTTTTGTTGCCTTAAATGCTCCCTGGCATGCTCCTAGTCCTCTAATAGAACGCCTCTCCAGCGAGCGCTCCTTTCGAAGTGCACGAGTTTAATAGACTCATAAACTCTTTCGTGAAAAGCTTATTGTCATAGGGTATAGAGGCGAAACGTTTGAAAAGAAAGCTTATTTTAAAGTTACATTCACAATGAAACAACAACAGCATACTCAAGCACGTCGCCTGAACAACATTATTTCCGTTGAGTCGACCTCAGCGATATTTCAAAGGAATTTTTACGTGAAATTCAGCAGGTACCGCGACCTTTCCCATACATGGTTGTTTCAGGAGGTTGTTCCTTGACCGTAAATCAACTTAACGTATGTGTTTAATTTTTTCATGTTACATTTCTATTCTATTTTTTAATTTTACATTACAAAAATTGGTTCAAATGACCAAACTGCCTTAAATGACCCAATTGGATCAAATGACCAAACCCTAAAATGATGCAACTGTCTCAAATGGTCAAACATGCTCAAATGACTCAACTGGCTGAAATGACAAAATTGGTTCAAATGACCCAACTGCCTCAAATGGCCCAATTGTATGAAATGACTAAACCGCTTCAAATGATGCAACTGTCTCAAATGGCCCAACTGGCTTAAATGAGTAAACCGGTTCAAATGATGCAATTGTTTGAAATTACCCAACTACCTCAAATGACACCAACTGGCTGAAATGGCCAACTGCCTCAAATGGCACAGCTGCCTCAAATGACCCAACCAGCTCAAATGAGTAAACTGGTTCAAATGATGCAATTATTTGAAATTACCCAACTGCCTCAAATGACCCCAACTGGCTGAAATGACCAACTGCCTCAAGAGGCACAGCTGCCTCAAATGGCTCAGCTGCCTCAAATATAATGAACCAACAGGCTCAAATGAGTAACCAGTTTAAATGATCCAATTGTTTCAAATGACTCGACCACCTAAAATGACCCAACTTGCTAAAATGGCACAAGTGGTCGAAATGACTAGCTGCCTTCAATGGCACAGCTGCCTCAAATGACCCAACTGGCTGAAATAATCAAACTCACTCAAATGACAAAATTGGTTCAAATGACCCAACTGCCTCAAATGACCCAATTGGATCAAATAACTCAATCAGTTCAAATGATGCAACTTTCTAATATTGCCAACCAGCTCAAGTGAGTAAATCAGTTCAAATGATCCAATTGTTTCAACTAACTAGCAACTAGCTGAAATTACCCAACTGGCTGAAATTACCAACTGCTTCGAATGGCACAGCTACCTCAAATGACTCAACTGACTGAAATGACAAAACTCACTCAAATAACAAAAATTGTTTCAAATGACCCAACTACCTCAAATGGCCAAACAGGCTGAAATGACCCAACTGGTGAAAATGGCACAGTGTTGTCTAAAACTGCCAAACTAGCCCAACTGACCAAACCCATTCAAATTAAATGATGCAACTTCGTCGATTAGGACAAGAGTGTCTTCAGCAGCTATGGGTAAGCAAATTAAAAGCTTTGGAATAACTGGTAAAATGACGGATATACGATGTCCTTACACTTGGTACACAGTTATGTGTAATTAACAGTATCCAAAACAGTTTGCACTTGTGTCCTGACAAAGTTGCTGAAGAGTGGTCAAGTGAAAAATCTCTAACAGCTTTAGGGTAAGAATTTCTGCAGTAGTTATAGATGAGCAAATTAAGAGCTTTGGTATAATTAGTAAAAATAGTGGTTATACAATATCCTTACACTTAGTATACGTCTATGCGTAATGATCAGTATACAAAACAGTATACACTTGTGTCCTGACAAAATTGTCGGAAAGGGTGCAGAAAAATTGCTTTTCAGTAAATTTTTAGTGCAATATATATGCAGTACCTGTATGCAAGTAAATTTAAAGCATTATAATGCTTGGTGAAAAACTGGATATAGGGTGTCCTAATACTTAGTATACGGTTATGTGTAATAATCAGTACACAAAACAGTATACACTTATGTCCAGACAAAATTGTCGGGAAAGGGTACAGAAAAAAACTGCCTCTCAGTAAATATTCAGTATAGAAATATCTTCGGTAGTTGTATATAAGTAAATAACGTAAATTTGTAGCTTCATAACAATTGGTGAAATACTGGCTATACGATGTCCTAACACTTAGTATACGGTCATGTGCAACATCTAGTATACATAGGAATAAGGA